GGGTGTGACTGAAATGCGCAATACACTGCAATACAGCGCAACACAGCGCAATACACTTGATAACACAAGTCCAGTTGCAAGTAAACACAGGAAAGGGTAATCTCAAATAAAATAGGGTGATATAAAAGCAAAATATAGTACATAGTAATTAATATTGCTGATACAACTTGACAATTTTTCATTGTTTGGTCAGCCGCCATGTTGGCGAGTAGCTCTTCTTGGCCAGTAATATATCCAAGAAGAGCCACTCGCCAACATGGCTGCCAACCGGACAATATAAAAGTCTTGCTGATTTGTTAAGTTATATCAACGATATTACTTACCTAGTAATATATAGGTTGTTTTTATATCACCCCACTTTGCTGGGAATGGTCATTTCTTTTGTGTAATTGCAACTGGATTTGATTTTTGAAGTGTATTGCACTGTGTTGCACTGTATTGCGGTGTATTGCGCATTTCAGTCACACCGATGGATAAGAGTTTTGGGGCTCATCTCCAAGAAAATTTGAAAACGTGAGTCTTATTTGGTTGCTTTTTCACCCAGAAAATCACAATAATATAATATGAATCTGTTTGGGTTGCTTTTTCACCCAGAAAATTAAAATGATTCTATTTTAAATGACCTCTTTTTTGTGTTAACCAACAAGTAATATAAAGTCAGTACTATAACCGCGACCCCTATAAACTATGGTTAATAAAGTTTGATGGTCAGTGTTGCTCACTTTCTAGGCGTTCCATCAGTATAACAATATATATTAGAAAAAACAAACTCATTTTCATTGTTCAACAGTAGGAATTGTTGCTGATCATTATTCATGCAAGTTTGAAAATTATATCTGAACCAGTTTTTTGTTTTCATGATTTAATTACCAAAGAGCGCAAATGCTATAACTGATTGTAGTCCAAACGAGAGTGCTAATACATGAATCATGCTAACCGCTTCAATGTTATGGAATCTGCATCTCTTTTGCCTGCAAACAGCTTTCTGTTCAGGACTCTGCGATATCATAATCTGATGAAATAATAATGGTAATTAAAATCTGAACTAGAAATGATAACTTTCATTAGTCTATTCAACACCCTTGTTTCTTTCTCCAAAAAGATGCAAATAATGGAATGTCTGTGTACCTTTTCAAGTCAGGTGTCACTATCTTGGCCTACTACTAGTTACTATATGAATAATTTATCTTGAGAGAGGAGTCAGTTGTCATAATTTAGCAGTACATTTGCCCTGGCCTTGTTAATACAAGGTTGCATGCTTGGCAACGAAAGAGGTCATGCAAAGATAGAATGGATACGTGATTGCTGTGATGCAATAAAAAGCCAATGACAGTGCATGTAAAAGCAAAAGCAGGGAATTCTCTAAACAAAAGGTATTAAAAAAGAGAAAAATAACCAAGTGCAGCTTTTCTCCTTTTGATTCATCAGTAAGGATTATGTTAGTGTTATAAGTCTAAGTCAGAATTATTCAGAATTAGTTTTATACTTGTCAGAAAACCCTTGTTGGTCCAAAGGACTGATAGCTATATACCATTGTAATTGGTCAGACAGCATTTTCAATTGATCATGACCAGTAGGACTGACAGTTTTGCCATGTCTGGAAATGAAACTAAAAGACAAAGACAGGTGTGATGCCCACAGTGCAGAATGCTCCTGCCTCTTGTGAAATTATCCACCTGTGAAAAAATAACATGAAGTCTAGGCTTGTGATACATAAACAAATTTTGTGAATAGTAAGGAGTGTTCAGGGATACTTTCAGACAAAGAGAAAAAAATGCTCCCTGTAACATGAAGCTTGAAGGTCAAATGGTACTTATGCTTTGTGCTCCCAAACTTGGAAATCTTTGATTAAATGCTATTCTTAATTCAGTGATGTGGTTATTTTGGTGAGTATCTTTTATATTCAAATAAATCAGTTTTGCAATTTGCTTTCAGGTTTTTCAGTGTTCTCCCCTCTCATTTTTAAGACCTTGAAGTTTCTTATAAGCACATCAAAAAACCATTAAATTGCCAGACCCATTCATGTGAATGGCAGAAGAACTGATCAAGTCAACATATCTGCATTAAAGAAAGGGTGGGGTGAGGGTAGGGAGTACTTTCATACAGTTTATAAATAATGTCTCATTGCTATATAATGAAGATAAGTTATATGATATTGAGAAGAGGATTGAAAGTTGAACTATTTACTGTGTCATTGGCAGGGTGTGATTTGTGAGACGCTGTCACCAGTGGTTTTTACTTACTTTGGAATTTAGGACAGATGTGCAGTTTTTTTTTATTTTTATTTTCATGATTTGTTTTTCAGATTTTTTAGATTAGATGTTATTTCATATGGTGTATGCAAGTTGAAGAGAGAGCACAAAGAGTTTTGCCGCAAAAATACATACTATACAGATTTTTCAGAGATCCTTAAAAATTATAGACCTATAAAAATATATTCATATATTCATTTAAGACCACTTTTTTGTGTAAGTTAGATATATTTTATTTAAAGCTGTTGTCCTGTCTTGAAATACTTGATTTTGTTCTGTTATTATTTTCATTCATAAGAAAGCTTTCTTTTGTCTTAGTGTGTGCACTCAGTCAGTTGGAGAAGTCCAAAGGAAAAAGTAAATGTTCAACCTGTGATAATGAGTTAAACAGAAAAATTCATGAATTACTCTGTAGAACAGTTTTATCTATCTGGACCCAAAGAAAGTGCCACATGTGAGTGCATGCATGGAATAAGCAGGGCAGAGTGACAGAAGCATGATCAAATTATGATACAGTTGTTGATTTGACACCCTGGCCTTGTGTAGTCTTGGAAAGATGTTTTCACTTTTTGTGTTAAATTGTACATGTCCTAGGATGGGGTAGCGTTAGCAATTTTTTTCATTTAGCCAAATTGCTACGTTTTCCTCATTTTTTTCTCCAAATGGTTTAAAATTGACTAAAATAAGTCAAATCAGTCCTATTTCATTTAGCCAATTTAAGTTAGTTTTAGCATTTGGCTAAATTGCCAGGGATTCTTTATAAGTTGCAGTTTAAATAATAACTGGGTTTAATTGTTAGCAGTAGACCCCAGTAACCCTTCATAAACTAACCCTGGTATATCACTATCAGGGTCAAAACTTACCCGTCATGTAAGTATTATCAAATCGTGACTGACAAGACTCTAAAACACTTGCAAAATGATTTCTGATTACTTTTTGATATCATTTATTTTGACCTTGAAAGTGAAATCAATAGCAGCCAAACCACTTCTGTTGATAGATGCTAATAATTTTAGCCTTTTTTAGAAATTCTTACTTAAGATGAAAAGCTGAAGAAAAGTAAAACCTTTTAATATTGTAAGTGATTAACGTTGTTTGGTATCATAGCATTGTGTTTACTTGGTATATGGGATATTTTTCAGTATGGACGACAAAAGATAGAGCACAAACAAGGGTTTATTCAGGATTCTGCAGAGAAACCAACCGGTGAGGAATTAGGAGAAGATGGTCATGCTGGTGAGGAAGACAAAAAAGCACCGTCTGGGAATGGTTGTGTTCAGTCTGAGGAGTCAGGTAATGAAATAGTGGTTTATTATTATTATTATTATTATTATTATTATTATTATTATTATTATTATTATTCATTTAAATGTTTTGAACATTTGTTGAAATCTGATCAACATTTTTTAAGTATAAGCCCATTATTTTTATTTTTTCCAGATTGTCCATGTTAACTGTTGTACATAATGAAAATTGGTGGTGATAACCTTGTTGAGCTTTTTATAATGTTGCATCATATCAACTAACCTTTTTTGTGAATCACTTTTTGCTTTTTTGTCTGTACATTTGACAGCTATGCTGCTTTGTTTCTTTTTTATCTTTTTTTTTTTTTTTTTTTTGTTTGGTGTGGGGGACATGTACTATTAATAAAACCACTTAGTAAATGTCTGCTTAGGAAGTTTTACTACAGACATGCAGCTATCTCCAATGTTTATTTTCAGTATCATTATCTGATAATGCTTAACGGTGACATGTAGGGCACAATGTGAACAAGTACTACGTACGTGAATGTCACCATGACTGAAACATTTGGAGTTACTTCCACTTTATTCTTTGAATTCATTTTCAGTGTTCAAAGCCTGACTAAAATGCTTTTTCTGAAGTGAAGCTTATATGAGATACACATATGTAGGTGTGCATACACACACACATGCATGTACTTGTGTACATACACACACACACACACGCACGTGCACACACACACACACACACACACACACACACAAAACTATAAGACTCATAATGGTAACCTTTATAGTAATATTCATTTTGAATGTATTTCACTTTGTTGCAAATTCTGCTTTAAGGAATGCATGTGATAGAGAGAGAGATGCCACTAAGAGCTTCCGAAGGAATTAGAATCTCCAACGTCCGTTCTGTAGAGACCATGCAGAGAGAATTTCAACTCACAGATACAATGTACTTCTGTAAAAGTGGTGTAGAGGTAAGTCTTTCCTTATCAATCAAATGAACTGGGATAATATAAGGGAAGGCAGTATATTTTTTAACACAAATGCAATTGTGTGTAAGAAATCACTACTTTATCTCATGCAGTTTTAAAATATTGTCAGCAATGTTCTTCAAAAATGAGCATTTCATATTTGAAAGGTTGATTAGGTAAGAAAATATCCAAACTCCTCTCTGAAGCCAGCCCTTGCCCAATCCAACCCTGCCAAACATCTTACTGCAGTATACATTTCAGCAAATGAATTATGTATTGCATGCCTATTTGGTTATTCACGTAGAGGATCTGTAACTTATTCATAGTTATCTGAAAAGGCCTTCTTTGTCTGAAATTAAAACAGTCATGTATGTTGTGTTTTAATTGTCATCAGATCATGGGTGTTGTTTTTATGTACAGACACAGATGTGTCTGTACATATAGCCATCATCTGCGTCTGTCGTCGCCGTCGTCGCCGTCGCCGTGCACTTTTACGGATAACACGATAAGTGGAAAACCATTTTGCCTTTTGATTTGAAACTTGCAGAACTGATGAATATTCATAATACGCAGGTCAAGTTCGAAAATCAGCATGATCGGTTCACTCTTAGGGAATTTATGCTGTTTTTTCACTTTTTTCAACATATATGCAGCACCGATAACACGATAAGTGGAAAACCATTGTACCTTTTGACTTGAAACTTACAGAACTGATGAATATTCATAATATGCAGGTCAAGTTCGAAAATCGGCATGATTGGGCCATTTTAGGGAATTTATGCTGTTTTTTCACTTTTTCAGCATATATGCAGCACCGATAACACAGTAAGTGGAAAACCATTTTACCTTTTGGCTTGAAACTTACAGAACTGATGAAAATTCTTAATACGCAGGTCAAGTTCGA